ATACATTTTGGGGCATGTAATCTGTAATGGAATACATTTTAAAAGTAACCTTCCCAACACTGGATATACACCAACAGCCTATGTACGGCTCATTCATGTCCAGTGTCCTTTAGCATCTGTGCTGAAGGACACTGGACATCAGCACCTGAAACATCAGCTTATGACATTACTAAGAGGAATCTGACACTCACTTTTTAATTATTGTTATGAAGGCCTAGTCAAGTAGTTTTGCCTAAACCTAAGAGGTTGTTAATCCTCTTCCCATCAAATGAAACTTGCATCCAAGTATGTCCAATCTCACTGCAAAACTTTGTGCTAATGTCCTCACACAACACAGAAAAGCTCATATTGTTGACCACGTCGTGCTTGTCTCTTGAAGTTCAGAGTTCTTGAGCAACAATGATTCAAGCAACATGACTTAAGCAATTATAAAACCTAAATGTATTTGATTGAGCTTACCCTAAATTCATCGATACATTGACTTTGGCAAAGGATGTAGGAAGCTTTCCAAACAAAAACCATATAACCTTCATAGTTACTGTGTTTCCCTTTTTGCTCTCTCTCCAGGTTTCTCCCTCTACAACAACGGCAACCAACTCAGCAGCCAATGCCACGCCATCCACTGGCTCATCTGAAGGAGCAAAGAGACGAGGAAAGTCACCTGGTCAGAAGAAGAAAGGCTCAAAGAGGGCCAGCAGTGCCCTTGGTACCCCACGGCGCAAAACTCAGAACCCCATTGAGGACGACCTCATTTTTAGGATCGGTGAGACATTTAGCTGGAAGAAACGAATCGTACAGACAGACTAGGATATTGTACACTTGCTTTTTTAAAGCTAATATATCCTAATTTTTGTGACACTGAAAGGCCTTTTTAATGCTTCAATCAATTTGGGCTTATTTCTCCCCATCACATGCATCATTTTTTCCAACATGGTGGAATTTTCATCTGGCTGATTCCAGTGTCTGTTACTTGTTTCATGTTACAGTTTATGAAGGGACTAAAGCAGTGGTTCTTAACCTGGGTTCGATTGAACCCTAGGGGTTCGGTGAGTCGGTCTCAGGGGTTTGGTAGAGCGTCCGCCGTGACATGCACGGCTCATTTTGTGCACAAATAAAAAACATATCTATGTCTTGAATTTGAAATAAATCATATTTTATTTTTCACTAAAGAGGGGTTCAGTGAATGCGCATATGAAACTGGTGGGGTTTGGTACCTCCAACAAGGTTAAGAACCACTGGACTAAAATAATGACATTGTGAATTTTAAAAGCTCAGATTCACCATATTGTCAGTATTGTAGTATTGTTTTGTTTTTTTGTTTTTATCGTAGCACACAAGTATGATGGGACTGTCATAATAATTCTAGTATTGGCATCATAGCTAATCTTAGATTCTCCTACCCTAAACACTTCATAAATTTGTCCTGGAATTGCACCACACATACAAACATTTTTGTTTCAGAATAATCCAAATTAATTTGTAATAGCAAGAACAATAAAACAATATGACTCTTCCCACAAATAAACAAGTCATTTCAACAAAAAGGACAGGGTTTGAGACAGTTAACATCATCACATAGTGCCCTACTGTAAAAAATATAATTGCCTCCCTGTATCATTCTATCAATCCAACAAGCAAAAAGTTATTGAAAACATGTTGAAGACAACTTTGATATTCAGCTAAAATGATAAAGGTGAAATGCACAGATTTAGTCTTCATAATAATATTCCACTCAAATGTCTTTTAGACCTCGCTTCAATTCATTCAAAACTTAGGTAAATGTGAAATGGTCTTCCCATAGAAAGCCTTTCTTCAAAGTCAGTAACAAAAAAAGAAAACATGAATTTTCACCTTTTACTTTCAACAAAATTTACATAAACGAGCCTTCTTTTTAAAATAGAAAACACAATCCATGGGTATTTTGTGCTTGAGGCGGCAGGTCTAGTCAAATGTATGTTCAAGGAAACTTGAACTCAAATTGAAGCTTCATGCAAAAGGTTAGTGTCTCAGTTGTTTATGAAAACATTTCTATGTATAATGGAATTTAAAATCATATTTTGCACTATTCAGGAACAAAGGGAAGGAATAAAGGAGAGTTCACCAATCTTCAAGGAGTAGCTGCCTCTTCCAATGGTAGGATACTGATCGCTGACAGCAACAATCAGTGTGTCCAGGTATGGCCTTCGAAAAGCTGCAGGGTTCATATAAAAACCCCAAATTTATATTGAAAGTTAAACAATGTGTATATGTCCAGATTTTCAGCAATGAGGGAGAATTTAAGAGTCGTTTTGGAGTGCGGGGACGATCGCCAGGTCAGCTACAGCGTCCGACTGGTGTAGC